ATGGTATAGACAGAACGAGTATCAAAGAGCGGAAACGGCAGAAGCAGGTATAAAACCCGAGAAGTTTTTATGTACTTGAAAACCTTGGGTAGTCCGGGATCGGGAGAAGCTAAAAGTACACAATTAAACGTCAATGTAAGTACGCGCTGCACGGGTTCCGAGTGACAGCATGGCGTAGTCTAGTGAATGCAAGTGCAGAATGCACGAACCGTCCTTTGCGTGGATATCGATGAGAATTTGGAATCAATGCGATGCGATCCGGAGCAGAAACGGGTACATGAATGGGAGAGCGCAGAGCCGGCTGGTGCTCATTTAGATATGGTCTTCACATCGTGGATGTCGTCTTCTCTATGTCAACCCTTATACCTGAGACGGCCGACATGCCAGCTGCTCCACTTTCGTCAGTTGCGCTTCCTGGCCGAGTATTGAACCCCATCTCGATCGAGTTATAGGCGGGGGCTGGTGTGGCATTTTCCACCGAACCCAGCGAGCGCGTGCTATCTCCACCATAGCCCATCCCGAGCTCAAAGTGCATATCGTCAAGCTCCACCTCAGCTGCTTCAAGATCGGGCGGAATGCTTCCTATAGTGCTCAACATAACGTTTGAGGCAATCGTCGAGCCTGGGCCGCGGTGGCGTCCACGGCCAGGCTTTCCACGGTGACCAGACTGGGAGATAACCACCCCGGATTTTGTTGCAAATGCGCTAACTCCCGTTCCTTCTGAATTGGAAATGGTCTCCGCGCCATGTTCACGAAGATCCAGGATCTGGAAGAACGAATAAGGATTCTTTTGAATACGCATGTTGGAAATTGAGCATACCAAACGACATGCAAGCACTGGGGCCATCATAACGCTGAGTGGGATGTTGAGCGCAGACATCACTTGACGAGGTCTGTGAATAAACGTAAACACAATGGAGCACGCCATCATAATGCCACTGACTGAAGGTAGAAAATCCCATTGATCTGAGGTAACGATTAATTTACGAGGAGCAAATCTGAAATGAAATCAAGCATACCAAATTGGCAACAGAGATCAAAATATAGTAAAAGACACCTGATTTTCGAGTTAGGAGGTTGTATGCGTTGTGCGAGTCATAGCGAACCTTCTCGAATGAAAGTTTGAATGAGTTTGCTGCTTGGTGCGCCACTGCGGCGGCGAATTGCAAATGCTTGCCAGACAGTGATAGCGGTTACGATAGTGTCGAACAGCAGTGGGGCAATCTACAAACGTGATAAACTAATCAACGTTGACGAGAGCGGAACTCACGAAGAAACCTGGAGGTTCAATGAGTAAGGAAAAATTCATGTTAGCTGCGAATGAAAACTCACCGAGCAAGTGAGCTGAATGGGGCTTAGAAATGGGGAAACATGGCCCCTCCGTCTATACCAACGGTTTTAGCTTTTTCCCTCGAGCTGCGAGAGTGACTCACAAAGGGTGGAGTAACAAACGGAAGAACTGGTAGTTTTGTTAGAAAGAAATTAAAGCCCTCAACATTTCTGAGAAACATACGCATCATTTCAGAAGTATCGACGAAAAGTTGATACCCGACGACACCAGCTAGCGCACATATGAGTGCTACCAGGAGGTAGTTGTTACGGTTGAAAAACGCATAAGTGCGAATGAGCAGAACAGCTGGCATAAACGACCGGAAATCAATATGTGAAAATGGGAGAACAGTGAGGAAAGACGGACATTCGGATCCGACTTGGTTCCACATGGCCAATGCGACAGGAATCTTACGGCGGGGTTTGAGTAATGATCTGCTAGATATATGCGCCTTACTGACCCTGAAAATTCTCTGGCACTCTGCTTCGGTGTGGTTGGTGACAAAAGCATATAAAAGATACGGAACGACGGCAATAACCCAGTAGCTGAAGAACGAGGTGATGACTGGTATTCAAAATTACCTGAACACCAATACTTACCGACAGAAGAGATATGCAGTCTTAACGGGCGTCCAACGAGTCTTCCAGATCTTTGATGGGATCGTCAGTAGAGATATCCGGAGTACAATTATAAAAAAAAATTACAAAAGTCCATTCTCTAGGTAAGCTGACGGCCCAGTCCCAGACCACGACAGCATCTGCAAATTGGAAATGAGGATTTGTTGATGAAGAATGTCTATTTATTTCAATACGTACACATGCCTGGTGGACAGGGAGGAGCGAGGTCAGCAAAAAGCGAGCTTCCTACAATGTTCAGAGTCCTTACAGCAAAAGTAGACCTGTGTGCTGCAAACAACGCGTTAGATGTGGCTTTCTGGTCAGGACTGTTGCCTACATGTAAATAAAATGTTGAGCTGCTTCCAGTTCCCCCATGGTACGTTGAAGGATAAAGAAAAAGAGAGGATGCTAGATGACAGTAAAGAGTGAAAATGGGTTAGGGACGAATATTGGTAGTACGTAATATATGGGGGCGACGCCACTGCAAGGTAGAAGGAAGCCTATATCAATCCCCAACTAGGCCGGCATTTTCTATGTTCAGTATATCCACTCGACCATAGGGAGTCCCGAATCCGACTTTCGCTTCGAGAAGCGTCACAGAAGCGTGCGCGCTGGAACCGACAATGGCTGCGAATCAAGCTCGACTAAGTTATTGATCACCCTTCCACGCGTCCTTTGACTTTATCGGGCTTTTACCTTGCCGTATATCGTAGATCTGGCAGTACACGCAGCGACTACCGCTTAGTGCAATTTCTAATCCCAGAAAACAAGATGAGAGTCGGCTCAACGACGCGCGCACGCGAACGACGGGGAATCGACAAACTTTGAAAGTCACATGATCAGCAAAGTCAAACCCGCCGAGTCTTTATGTCTTATTACGTAACTGCTATGACACACGGACACGCGCTCTTCCTGCTTCAGGCTTCAGCCATGGCCTCAAACGTTCAAACTTTGCGTTTAAGACGCAAGGAGGACCCAAAACCATCTGTTCACTTTGCACGGCATTCTGGTATTTTGCAAGATCAGCTTCGCAGGTAATTTACTTCGTCTTACCCATTTACGACTTCCCATCAATGATTTTTCCAGGTCAGCTCGTAAACCATGGAATCCAGACTTTTTAACAGCAGTGCGCATTTTGTTGCTCATCCGAGTAGCAGCGGCTATGTACGCCAATATACAAGATTGTGATGAGGGTAAGTAACACAGAAACTTGTTTATTAATTCTTCAAGTTACATCTCACGTCAGTGTTCAATTTTTGGGAGCCATTACACTACATCGATCACGGTCATGGCTTCCAGACATGGGAAGTCACCCCAATGTATGCCATTCGAAGTTGGGCATATGTCTTGTTACACCTCATACCTGCGCGCCTCCCCCTAATCCTTAACCTTGGAAAAGTGAGTCTTCGTAATAGTATCGTATTTACTATCGCGTTGAGCTTACCGATGTAGCGCCCTGCTTTCTTCGCAGTCCGCATAACTTTAGCCGTTATATCTACGCTTTGCGAAGCCAAACTATGCCGCACTGTAGTCGAAAAAGTCAATGAGCGAGTTGGTCGTTACTTGTTTTTTATGCTGCTGTTCAACGCAGGCATGTGGAACGCTGCTCCAGGTAGAATTCTTTCTCCATATTTTCGTCCAAATATTCGTTTTGGCTGAGTACCCACATAGCCCTCCTACCTTCTTCTTTTGCAATGTACGCAATCACGATCGCATTTACGTATTCACTCGAACCCTCGAGCATGAAGAACAAGCGGAGAACCTTATTTGCAACAATGCTTTTCGCCACCGGAGCTATTGTTGGATGGCCTTTTGCACTTGCTCTGTCACTGCCTTTTGTGTTTGAAGAATTACTCATTTTCGGTGGCGATCGAGTTGAACCAAGCTCACGCAGATCATGGATGATTTCTCGTTGGAAACGCCTCTTCATTTCCGGACTTGTATCCGCTCTGATATCAGTAGGCAGTCGTTGTGTATCATTCGTTCATAGCTCATTGCTTTTGTTGCAGGTTCCCGTCATAGCGATCGATAGTGTTGCGTATGGCAGGTCCAATATCGTGCCTTGGAACATTGTCCGCTATAATATCTTTGGTGGTTCCGAACGTGGTCCCGATCTATACGGCACAGCTCCCTGGTACTTCTACATCCTGAACCTCCTCTTGAACTTCAACGTTCTCGTGCCTCTCGCTTTTATCTCCCTACCTGGTCTCGCAGTTACCTATAGGGTCGATCGCAAGCGGCTCGGGATGTCCAAACCTGGCCCAGACCAGAGTTCTCCGTTCACGCTACTCGCCCTTCGTCTAGCACCACTGTATGTCTGGACGGCTATCTTAATAACGCAAGCGCACAAGGAGGAACGTTTCATGTTCCCTGCGTATCCCCTCATTTGTTTTAATGCAGCCGTGGCTTTATACCTCATCCGCGGATGGATGGAAGTCGCATACATCTCCGCCACCAAATCCTCATATAGGGTATATTTATGCTTATTGTCGACACATGCGTTTGCTTACGTTTGCTTTGCCTTACTGTCATGATAGGCTTCAAGATCCATCATATTTGGTGCAACAACGTGCATCGTGATTGCCGTGACGGGGCTTATTTCTCTGTCTCGCGTCCTTGCCTTGTGGCATTACTACCACGCCCCGCTTTCCACGTTCAGCTATCTCGAGACACACGAGCTTCCGCGGCTGCTGAATGTCACTGGGCTTCTGCCACCTCTTCTTCACGGAACAGAAGAGATTGACAGACCTTCCATTGACTTGGCACCGATAAGGGCGTTTGATCTGAGGCTTTGTCTAGGGAAAGAGTGGTATCGCTTCCCAGGGCACTACCTTGTTCCCAACGGCGTGAAAGTCGATTTTGTCAAGAGCGAGTTCGAGGGGTTGCTTCCCGCGCACTTTGAAGAAAGTCATGCAAAATTGTCCTTTAATGGATGGTGGGACAGGCCGGGTTCGAGGATCACCCCAGCCAGTCTGAACGATATTAATAAAGAGGCACCAGAATTTTATGTCAGTGGACGAACAGTTCTATCTGCGACATTTCATTGACTCTCTTTCAGGTGCCTATTGAGTCCTGCGACTACCTTGTAGACCTAGACTTCCCCGAGCACCCGGTTTCATCGCTTCTAGAACCGCGATATGCAGTCGATAACGAGACCTGGGAGCGAGTTTCATGCCTCCCATTCCTCGATGCGTCACGCTCGTCACTTTTGACCCGCACGCTCTGGCTCCCTGGTTCGTGGTGGCAAGACAAGAACGAGTTCGGAGATTACTGTCTTCTGAAAAATAGGGATAAGGTGCACAAAAAAGAGGACGAAGTTGCGTGGCGGGTGCAGGAGGGAAAGCTGTAAGATGATGTCGTACGTGGTGACGCTATGTGGATATGTGTGCAATAATAGTTGTTGTCAGCCACCGTGAGCATCCAAGCCGAGAATACGGCTGACGATTTAGAGAACGATGGTACTACTACTTGACTGCTACAGTCATTTTATCTTCCTCGCTAGCCCACTCATTCGCAGAAATTATGCTGTCCTCAACGCACGTCCGTTTGACCCGCACTTCATCTGACTTGCGTTTGCTTGCTACTGTGGTTTGCCCTCCGTCACCTATTCTCAACTCAAGTGACCTACTATCACCAAGCACGTCTGGTGAAATACCGCTCATTATCGACTTCGTGATTGACAAATTTTCTACGCCTTTGAACTCGCCCCTTAGGTTTGGATATGACACCGACGTATGCACCCCAGCAAAAGCGAGCAGACTTGAGATCGACGTAGCAGCTGCACAGGGAAGAGTCGCGAAGTTGCCTAGGTCCCAGATTACAGCCTCCTCGCTAGCAGCACTGTCTTCTAATCTTGCAAGCCCCCGTAGTGTCGGCGAATCACTGCTTGACGAAGTCTTTTTCACTCCGAAGTCATCTCAATCGTCCCAGTCGCTCCTCTCTACTCCCTCTCCTTCCCCAAGCCCCCTCTCTAAGTCTCTGTTCCAGTTGACGCAATTGCGTAGCTTGGCTATATCTGACTCAGTCGGGTCGTCGCTATCAGAACCCCCCAGTGCTAGGACTGTTCTCGGAGGCGCAAACCGACAAGCCTGGGTTTTCAACCCGAGAATGACTTCCGATTTATCCACGGCTGTTCCTGTAGAGGACAAAGAGAACGGACAAACTGTATACCTTTGCACGTCAGCGACATTCTCGACACTGCCGACACCTTCCTTTGCTCCTCCGTCGCCATCGCCTAGTGTAGATGTGATTTCTCCCATATCTTTTACATACTCCAGGAAGCATCGCAGACCACTGGAACGCTCGGGAGCCATTCATCACTTGAAGACCCCTCGTTCAATCCCAAGAACCTCTCGGCTCCATCTACATGCCCGCGAGCCCCAGTCCCCAATCATCGTACCTGTACCTACAATCCGCTGGCAACTCACTGATTCCCCGTCAGCAAGCTCCATACATTCGTGTCCTTCTGCAAGTACTACCCCGGGCGACTCATGCGTCTCTAAGCATCCCTATCTTCCAAGTGATCTGGCTTGGCTCGGAGGAACCGAAGTTGAGCTCTGGATCGACCAGGAAGGCTTCCGCGCGATCCGGCCCATGATGCGACTGATGGGGTATTCCCCACGCTCCCGTTCACTCCTCCCATATGGCGAGCGCGGCGTCTTCTCCGACGTGAGCGGAGGCGTTGCGGAGTTCATGCCCATCAAGCGGGAGAGCTTCGCATTCCACTATGCGACTCTCGATGGTCTGCCGATGCTACGGCGCGTCACTGTGGGCGGGGACGAGTCGCGTGACTATCTCTCTCGGCACGCGGCGCTGAACATCAAGACGAATGGTGTGTATACTGTTCTCGGAAGCGAGAGTATGGTGCTTGGAAGCTCGCAGGAGCACGTGAAGATGCAATGGAAGTTCGATTACCTCGTGGATGACCGTTATACGGACGGTTCACGACGGGTCCTCCCTGGCGAGAAAATCGTCACGCCATTGACGTTTTCATGTTCTCCATTCTTGCTGCACCCGATGCAGGGTAAGAAGGTCGGGTTCGTGCATCTCCTGAAGAAGAGTGTCGTACCGAAGCTCTCCGCGGAGAAGCTGGAGCCGCCTGAGCCTCCCAAAAATGTAGGACAGCTAAACCAAGTACAACGAATTGCGAGTCGCCGTCGTACCGGCAGTATGCGCAGGCATGGGTCGTGCAGGTCGGATGCCCATGCGAACTCGGGAGGCGTTCTTACATTGACAAGCAGTTCCTTAGCTGGCGGCTCTCCTTTGGGATCAAATGGCAGCAGAATACTCGAAGGCACCAGGCATATGCAATACACTCGGAGACGGAGGGCCTCCTCAGCTGGAGAAGTTGAAGTTCACGGTTACGCCATATCAAGCTTGTGTCTGCCCCACCAGTCACTATCACCGAGCATGCAACAGCCGAGCTACCGAAGGTGACCGCACTCAGAAACGAAGACCCACCCCAAGCTCATCTAAAAACAGCATTGCGGTCTACACGCAATCATGGATATTTGAAAGGATGCCAAAATGATAAACGGCCAGTCCGGTGAAAGTGAGAGGTATTTGAGGCACTACTGGTACATACTGCGTATACAAGGGAATAAATTATGCACCGAAACCATATAGAGTGCGCCCCGAGCGCTTCAGGGCATACACAACATCAAGAGCAGTGACCGTTTTACTACAGTGCGGATGAATGAGTGAGTACTACAATGAGCTGTGGGGCTTACCGCTTAGCATGTTCGGTATAAGTGACAGAGTCACGGATAACATTCTCCAAGAAAATCTTGAGCACACCACGAGTCTCCTCATAGATGAGACCTGAGATACGCTTGACACCACCACGACGGGCAAGACGGCGAATAGCCTATAGGTATTATGAGCAAACGGTTGAGAACAGGGGCCGATAGACGCACTGGCTTGGTGATACCCTGGATGTTGTCACGAAGAATCTTGCGGTGACGTTTAGCACCACCCTTCCCGAGACCCTGTTGCACTGTGAGTCAAAGCCACAAGACGCCAACCAATATTACACACCTTCCCACCCTTCCCACGTCCAGACATGTTGTATGCAATGAGTACGCGTTTCGACGATTTATAGAGAAGGCAGATGACACTTGTAGTGTCGACGACGGTTGTGGTGAAAGAAGAAAGATGAAAGGTTCAGTCAACGTTCACCGGTCCGTCAATTATACGCGTGTGGTCATGTTTGTGACAATCACGTGACTGGCGTCCAAATCCATGATTGATTCGAGTTCAGTGTGGCATATAGCACTGATGTCTCTACTACTCAGGTCTATGCCTCAGGCTTCTTCATCTGCGTCTGTTCGTTGCATGATAATACCCGACCTTCAGTGGAAAATCTTCCAGTTGGTCCATGACACCTTTACAGAGCGCTCGAGAAATCAGACACTCCTGGCACTTGCTTTAACGTGCAAGTTATTCACTGGACTTGCACTGGACTTCCTATGGCAAGACCTATCTGGGATTGCTCCACTTATCAAATGCCTACCTTCGAACCTATGGAAATATGTTAAGGGAAACCTGGTAAGTCAAACACTGACTCATAGCTGAGAGTTCATCAGTTCATCCCATTTTCAAGGAATTTCAAAGGACCATGACCATCGATGACTGGTCTATATTTTGCAGATACAACCACCGTGTCCGTTCACTCAAAACATCAGCTAATACGCTCGGTGCCGGAACTTGGCGTACTCTCAACTGCCCTCCCTTCTCCCTTCCATTGCTCCCCAACTTGGTGTCTCTAGTTTGGGGTGCGATTACCAGCGAAAATTTTACATTCATCCGGTTATTTTTGACCTCAAAATTGACGACACTCAACATATCCCGTAAGATCACATTTGGTCTTTCCGAACAGTCCATTTTGTTATGTATCCCGATGCTGTGCCCTTCTGTCTCGAACTTCAGTATCCATCGGGCGATAGAATCGGGAGAAATATCGACCGCGTTGCAATACTGGCCTCATCTATCCTCAGTGAGAACCGGAGAAATTTCCGAGGTGGCCATACTATATCTGTCCAACTTGACCTCACTTCGATCTCTCAAATTTCGTTTACCTTCAACTTTCCTATTCGCAAGTACGCAAACACGCATGCAGCAACCTGCATTCTGTGCGCTGCAAGAACTGGCTATAGAATCCAAAACACTGGAAGTCTTAGATGCATTCTTCGAAACGTTATTCGTTGCTCCCGAAATGCTATCCTTCACCGTCACCGAGCAAATATCTGCCCCGTTGGCCCTGGCATCTTTGATTTCCTGTTTACCCAATACATGCGCGCACAGCTCACTGCAACAGGTGCACTTCAACATTGATGATGGGTCTTTTGATGACAGCGATCCGATCGAAATTGCATCCTTTCAACCACTCTCCGTTTTCCGCAATCTTCGCAAGCTCAGCTTCCAAACAGAGTACTATTTGCAGTTGGATGATACCGCCCTTTTGCAGATGGTCAAGGCCTGGCCGCTTCTGGAAGAATTGCACTTCGAAAAATCACGCATAAGACATCATATCACCTCAAATACCTTCGTCTCGCTGTTGCAACATTGCCCATGTTTAGTCTCGGTTGGCATTGCTGTAAACTGGTCTGCTGTAGACAACCACGGGATATCACTCGATGTTCCTTACCACGGATTTGCACACAAAATGCTATCTCATGCATCCTTTAGTAATTCAAAAATTCGCCATCCAACGAGGATTGCTGCTTTTATCTCGGCCATCGCACCTAATATCAAATCAGTTAAGGCATGGGGCATGGCCATATACGAGCACGATCGAGGCTTCGTTAAATACTGCTCAAGATGGGATCTCGTCCAGGATTTGATCAAGTCCTTCTCTATGGTTCGCGAGCAAGGGAGGAGAATGGTGCTGCTAGCAGGTGAAGAGAGCGATGAGGAAGCGGACGTTGGTGATGCCAGTGGGGGTGAAGAGGATTCCGAGGAAGATACGGATGAATATTCCGATCGAACTTCATCAGACTGGGAGGAAGAATGATTCAAAACGCAGATAATCGTGTAATGAGTTCGCCTTTGGTGTTCAGCGCCTGGTGCCGTGAGATACAGCCATCTCCGTCCAAACTGACGTGTCATGGGCCATCGAGAGTTGCAGTCGCGTACTATGCGCGCGTATGGTATCATAGCCACTGGAAGTGATCATTTGTAGCCATTGCTTTCAGGTCACAATCTAATTGACAGTTGCGGGAGTGCACGAGTCAATAATAAGCTTTTCAGTCCATTTCGAGGCCTACGGGTGCGACTCGGAGCTCGATGCTCGTCTCAAATATCTGGCAACAGTGGCAAGGTGATACCTTGGCTATCATGATGGCTTTGTCTGATGCTAATAACTATGAATATTTTTCTCACGCCATCATGGAGGACCTTTTGACAAATTTCAATATCTTCGAAGCTATCACGTTTTCGGCCACATCTATGCTCATAGCGCTCGAGACGTTTCATAGCTCGATACTACTATCAACCAGGTCTCCACTGTATCCTGCAAATCACCTTGTTATACAGGAGTTCCAGCGCACTGCCGCTAGGAAATGCTAGGTTACGAAGCGTCGGGAGCGGGTCCAAGCCCGAGCATTAGACAACGACGGATGAACGCAGCTAGAGATGGTAGTACGTCGTCTGTGTTTCAAACCCACTGAGGAAGTGCTAAAAGGGCTTCAAATCGTCGTTCGAAGGAAGACATGTAGTTATCCCCTTGCTCTTTTTTTGCTCTTTTTGTATCATCCTTCGATTTCTTAATGGGTGCAACACGCAGCAGCCACATTCTGTGTAGATTTTCTTGTGTCACTCGGGACACTCCCCCCAGTACCGATGGGGCTCAATTTTTTTTGGGTCGCTGGACAGGGTGTCATGATATATTCGATGTTTACAGTGACCGTGACCGTAAATTGGATATGAAGCGAATGAATGACTGTATTGTGCGAGCAGGCCACACCAACGACACGCAATGGAGATGATACAATCAAGAACACAAAAAATACAAGAACAAGAACAAGCCCGAAGTCTACGCAGTCGGTTCCGGCTCTGGCACTTGAGTCGACAGTGAGGAAAGCGCAGAAACGTTAGTGTCTGGAACTCACAGGTCCAACCAATACTTTGCATATACAGGTACGCCTCATAGGCCGCTGATTCCTTTGCCACTTTCTGGTTTCTACCGAGACCAAAACCCCGCTCAACTTGGTTCACTACAGAAATAAACAAGTTATTCGAGATTGGAACCAAGTGGTCTCACCTTTACATCTCACTTCCCATCTCGGATCATGATTTGGACCATTTGCTGAAGCGATCCACTCGACAGAAATCCCCCGTTGATGACAAGTCTGATTGAACAGAGCAAGTGTACCTTGGGGAACTCCTGAAGGTATTGTTGATGCTTGCGGGGGGGTCGGATAATATGGAGGTGGGGCGGCTTGCGACGTACCCGCCTGAGGGGATGCCGGGAGTGACGTACTGGCAGGTCTGGAAGGTGACGCAGGTGACACCGTTGGAAAAGTGCGGTTTTGCGAGTCATCTACCAAAGCCGGTGGTTGATCCTCGGGTTTCACAAGTTTGCTGACCCAGTCAGTTGCTGCCTGCAAGCCATCTTGAATACAGATGGCTCCAACGTAGCTGTTGAAAAGGAATCGAGCTTCCTAACGAAAGGTAGTCATGCAGTGTGTATTTGGCATGCACGGACAATCTTCCGTACCTCGGGGTCCTCGAGAACACCTCTCGCTCCTCCGAGTCTCACACGTTTCTTCAGTTCGGTATCATATGCAGCAAGCCAAGCAACCATGTTTTCATCGCTTAGGGTTTGCTCCTGTTTGGTCTAGCCGCATCATTGCGATTGAGCACAGGCGAGTACTGAGGATACGATATCACGAGCATACCTTCAGCTCTTCGCCAGACAACATAGGTCTTTCTGCAAATAGTATATATGTTACGATGGTGTTCATCACCGACTGTCCGAGTTGTGCGAGTCTATCACTATTTCCATGTGGCGTGTGGTCATTGAGGACACCTTGGGTCAAAGTGCGATGTGTGAAGACATCGAGCATCAGATCTCCATGCAGTGGAGGAATTGGAGGAACCATATTGCAAAGTTAGTCTACTGTTCAGTGGCGGCTTAGGGTAAGGGATGTTTCGAGCTCAAGATCAGTGGCACTACTTATCATGATATATAGCGAAGATCAGAAAAGGCGGAGGGCGTAATAAGAGCTTCCAAAGAGGGACTTATCTCACCAAAGAATATTATTTAGAATAAAAAAAGTATTGAACCTAACCAACAGAATTGTAGTAGTGACACTCGTATCCAAACTGATCTGACCAAGTAGCAGAAACCAGATGGAGAGAAGGAGGCTTTGAAAAGAAGAAGAGACAGTTGGGTAGAATGTTATACGAATACAGAAGACTCAGATGATATACTGATACATTCCGTTGATATAAGTCCGAATGTTGTCTCTTAGTGGGCTCCTATGGCTAGAGGACTGGAACTGAGGTCAGAAGTTGGGCGCGTTGGCATATTTCTGGATACTTACGACCCCAGCCTGTAGCCTGCATGTACTGATATGCCTCTGTCGCTGCTTGCTCCTTTGCCTGTTTCTGGTTTCTACCTGCCCCGGTTCCACGATGTTGTCCGCTCACTTCCAAGTTGCTTAGATAACCAAGCACATAAAATAAGGCTAGAAAAAATCTCACCAATACACTTCACTTCCCACCTCGGGTTGTGCGGTGGCCCCGTCATCTCTGGTTTCCACTCTACTGTGAGTCCTCTTTGCATACACGTCTGATTGAATATTGCAAGTACTCCCTGAGAGGGCGCCGGTGGTGGCATCGATGGCATTGGAGGAGGCGCAGTGCTGGGCGGCGGAGGGGGCGGGGGCTGAGAATAATACGTTGGAGGCGGTGGAGGCGGCGTTGCAGCGGGCTGGTTGTTGGATGACTCTCCTGGGACTGCTGGCGGCTCCGAGGAAGGATTGACAAGGCGTCCGATCCAGTTCATGACTTCTTGCAGTCCCTTCTGGGTGTAAACGGCTCCAACATAGGAATTAAAGAGGAAACGAGCTTCTTCAGGCTTGTCAAGTACACTCCTGTCTGTACAACGAATTTTAGTCTTTAATCCGTAAAGAGAAAGCCAGTCGCCGATATTCTTGTCGCTCAGCATGTCAGATTGGTGCATCTATGGTGCCATCTCAGCGATGGACAAAAATAATATTTCTTGACGATTACGAACTTTGAGATCATGGGCGGGAAGCATCGGTTTCTCTGAGTATAACGTGTACACGACGAGCATACTGAGCACCGAGCTACCCAGCTCAGCCAATCGCTCGGTATTTCCATGCACGGTATTCTCGTCGATGTCTTTACTCAGCATAGACCGATGCGTATATACGTCGAGCATGAGCTCTCCTTGGATGGGGGGAAGCGGTGGTAGTGAGTGCTTTAAGTTGTTCATGGCCATTGTAGTATGAACGAGACAAGATAAGACTCCCTTGTTATCGCTTGCTGAGGGCCTAGACAACTGTGTTCGGTTTAGCGTCTTTCAATAGGCTGAAGAGCTTAATGCCATGTTAGTACTCACCAGGACGAAATCTAATTATGAAGCTAGACAGACCACTGGGATCGCGATGGATGATCACAAGCTAAGAAAACCTGGCCACGTAGTACGGTGTCAGCACAGTCAGTCGTTCCAGCGCTTCGGCTGAGAGAATTCAATGCGCTTCGGAGCCGGGTGACGGCCCGGGTCACATCACCCATCCAGTTGCCTTTTCTGACCGAACAACTGTAGTCACGTGTGTTTGTCCTTCCTCTCCAGGTCCGTGCCACTAACTGCAGTTTCTTAGGAAGGCTGGTTTATCCGTAATATAATAGCAATTTATATGCCTGGTGAACCAACGCCGCCTCCAGGCGAACAGCCACTTATACCAGAGCGGATCCTCGACGTACCCTCTCAACGTTTATATTACCTGAGTTTGGGCTTGCTACTGCAGGTGAGTGACTTTAAGAAATATATTTCAAGTTCTTTCTGTGCGAGGTCTCCTTTCATATTTCATGCCTTGTGCATGCTACCGAAACATCACGAGTCTCACGCGTTTCCATCCTTGGCAGGCCATCAAAGTGTTCGATGTATTCCAAAACATCTTCGCGTCCGATGCAACGACATACTACGGCAGAAAATGGCTTATAGTTGATTTTGCGTACATTGCAACGCTCTCTCAGCTCCGAATACCACGTTTAAAGTACAGCAGGGCTGTCGTCTTGCTCCAAATTCTGTCCATATGGTTCCTCGATGGCATGTTGTTCGGAGGAATTAGCTTAAACCTTGGGTTAATGGGATCCTCCGAAATAAGCAGCGTACCTTCAGGAATTCCAAGTAAGTCTTCTGTGAATTCGTGTCTTTGATTAAACTCATGATATAATACAAGATCGACCAGACATTCCTTCTACTCCAGAACCGTTCCGTCTCTCTGATATCTTTGCTCCACTAACATTCGGCCTCTTCTCGCTCGACACAAATTCGAAAGATGCTCGTCTGGTTGGCCAACATACGGTCCGCATGTCTCCTATCAGCACTGCTCATTTCAATCCACACTTCCAAACTTTCTGCCTCCCACTTGTCTCGCCTGCGCACGTACTTGTCCCAATCCTTGTGAACAACACGATCCCGACTAATGTGCGCTATTCTTTTATCCCACTTGGCTCGGGGCGCGTGGAGTACCTTGAATTGGGGACGAAGGAGTTAAAAGCAATTGAGCAAGCTAGGGTAGAGGGACTACAGGTTGTGCGAAACAAGGATGTAGACGGGTTTGATGAGTACGATGACGAGGATGATGAAGAAACCGATGCCGCCGCCCGCCTTCAAAAGACACAAAGCTTGCTGCATCTTCGCTTTTCCAAGCCAGGGACCATAAGGCTCGACCGGGTACTTGACAGTTCAAATGTTGCGGCACGTCTTGTTCACCCGATCGAAGTGACTGTTGTACCCTGTCCGACTGCCCAGTACACTGATGATGTTGTGCAAGATGTTCACTGTGCAGGTGAAACATCTGATGTGAATCTTACCATTGATATACGAGGCGTTCCTCCGTTGAGCCTACAATGGTCAAAGGATGTTAATGGGAGGAAAGAATATTTTCTTGTTGAAGGCATCGAAGATAGCGGCCACTCGCATACCGCACAAGAGGTCACTCGTGCTCGTATACCTCAGAAACTCAAAGTTCCATTGTCTTTATCTTTGGATGCTCTCGGCAAGCACACGTATAACCTGGAGAGTGTCATCGATGGCATGGGAAACGTTGTGCACCTCAACGAAGGGCAACGTGACACGAAAATAACACGATCCCTTTCTGTTCTGCGCCGTCCGAGCGTGTCGTTCAAAGCATGTGGTCCAGGACATCCAACTTCGCTCCTGATTGGCTCAGAGGCTCCGGTAGCATTAGCAGTATCCAACGCAGACCCCGTGGATGGGCCATGGGACATCGATGTGAGGTTCGAGCCCGCTAGTGGGGATGGCAAGCGCATAAAGCCATGGGACAAGAAAATACAGACGCAAGAAGATAATAATGACATCGTGCTAAAGGCAGGCGTCCCAGGGGAGTATATTGTCACCGGCATCAGAGGCAAGGTCGGTAATGCACAGTTCCTTTTCATGATGATCCTAACTATGTGGCAGTATTGCGATGGCGATGTGCTTGCTCCTGAAACCTGCAAAGTCGTTGAGAAGGCGATGCCAACCGCAGAAATCGAGTGGAAGCGGATTCATGAATGGTATGGGCCCTCGTTCTCGCAAGCCTTCCTTTCTAAAGTCTACTCAGTTCTGGGGACACAGGTGTTTCTGCATCCCTTATCATGCACGGCACACCTCCATTCCAGGTCTACTACCGCACGCAGCGTGATACAGAACCTCCACGTGATCTTTTCAAGACATTCACGTCGTCCCGTGGCGAGCTCACTCTGCAGCCGGATCACAGCGGTCACTACTACTACACCTTTGTACAGCTCAGTGACGCCTACTATAAAAAAGTTGCCCTTGATGGCCCGAGTATTGATCAAATCGTACATCCTCTGGCAGGAGCAGACTTTGTAGGCGGTCGCGGAAAGAGGGTCGTCAGTAGTTGTGAAGGTGTGACAGTGGGCATTGAGGTCGATTTAAGGGTGGGCAGTCTCGTTGGGTTTAATGGGTTGATGTTAATGCGTATCCTCAGGGAACGCCCCCTTGGAACTTGGAGTTGCAGGTCGTGGGCCCACGCAGTACAGATGCACTGGAAATAACTGACATCAAAACGTCGCCCACGAGGATATTGGTACCCATACCCAGTGTCATTGATAAGGAAGGTGGAACATTCGATGTTGAATTAGGTAGGCTCGAAGGTTGTTCGATGAAGTGAAGCTAATCCGTTCACTCAGTGAGCGTCGTGGATAGCTACGGATGCAAACGATCGATATCAGTTCCTGGCGTCTCTGTGAATGTCCGGAGAGTGAAGGCAAGCAAATATGATTGTGATATATGGGTCAAGTTTTGACGGCATGTTAGCCAACCGTCAAATTCTACGGCAAGCATGGCCAACGGGAGGTCACTATTCTAGAAGATGATGGTGCTGACCTGCCACTTCGGCTGACAGGCGACGGGGTAAGTCAGATTACTAAAGTCTACCGAACAGAACTTACATTCGCCTACCTTAGCCATGGAAAGTCAAGTACCGTCACATGGGCAACCCAGATCGGCTGATCACTGCTGTGCTGAAGTCACCCAATGATTATATCCATGTCACACAACAGGGTGTCTACGAGATTCTTGAGGTAGCAGTCCATCGTATAGCCATGGGACACAGTGTTCACATAACATGTCTATTCTAGGTCACAGATTCCCAATGCCTTGGATCCGTGATTGAAAGTGAGAACACTTATACCGTTGACTGGGTGCCACGACCGTCTGCTCGACTGGATCCTGCAACTGTTTGCACCTTCGAGCCATATAATAGATCACACATCCTTCCTCCGATTTGCAACAACCAGGATGCCCACGTCGACCTCGAGCTTACGGGTGTGTCCACTCAAACGAAGTTTGTTGCATTGGTTAACGTTTTCAAGGCCGACCTCCCTTCCAGATCATGTACAACATTGCGCGCAATGACGAAGCAGGGGGTACAATAGTCCTCGATCAACCAACGTTCAGCAGCATCCAGCCTCACACGCGT